AAACTGATTAGACTCCATCTGAAACCAGTGACATTGACCCTGAATACATGATGGTAGAAAGACTCAATAAGCCAGATACCTGCAGAGACCAAACTGGAAGTGAGCAACTGTTGGAGAGTAACATAAATAACATTCCCAAGGATGTTTTACCTTGCTCCGAGCTGGAGGAACGGCCAGTACCAGCTCCCCGACAGAGGGTAGATCTAGCCCAAAAGATCATGCCTAGGCCTTCTCCACGAAGGAGTACTAGAAAAACAGCTGGACAGAACAGGAATCCATTTAACTTACCTGTGAGTGCTTGTAATAACACAGTGTCTTTCAACGCCAGATGTACTGTCTCAGTTGTTAGTTGGTATGGTTCTGTACACCTCAGAAACAAAGGTTGATTGTTAGAAAGTCACCGAGACGTTGACTTCAGGCAGGGGAGAATGTTAGCCGGGTCAAATATAAAATAGGACGAACGGCAGATACTGTCCCCGGTTTGGCCAGTAGAGGGTGCTGTTACAGCGCTGAGTGGTTGGGAGGTGTCAGGTGCTGCACGTGAGACGTTACCCTGGCAACGCCTTGAGAGAACGTTGGATGGTGCGTGCTGGCAAGTTGTGGCACCAAAAAAAAACGGTAAATAGAGATAACAAAAAAGGATTAAATGATAAAATTATCTTTTTGTATATCTACTGCATTATATCTGATGATTTCTGCTCTATATATCTGTAGATCTGGTGTTGGTAGAAGGCATACATACGTAAACACTGTCAGACCTGCGTGTATAAAGCCGCATTGGTCAACGTTTTGGCGTGAGTTGACAGATCACTATGTTAGTTTACATGTTTAAGGTTTATTTTAAATGGTTATTCATGAAATGTACTCACTATTTGCTTTATGCAGAGGGAGAAAGACCACTGTTATATTCTCAGTTGTTTCTGGATTTGGTTTGAGCTGTGTTCCTACCAGACTGAAAGTGAGTGCAGATTGTTTAACTGATATTTCCATTTCCATTCTATAAATGAACATTTTACATTGTATTTATTTTGTTTATTATAGTGAGCCTACACCAGTTGTTTTGTAGTCCACTACTGTTGTCTTGTCTTGTCTTATTTTTGAGAATGAAGTGTTTATATTTAATTTTATGTGAATTGAGTAACGTTGTTAAATAGAAAGAAAAGAAAAAGCCAAAAATACCTGAAATTAATGCTGTCTTTCTCTAGAGGCAGTCGGAAATTAAAGAACCACAAAATCTTTGGATCTTGTCTTGGGTACATTATTTTCCTGATTCAAAATAGTACCAACCACTATCATCTGTGTGTGTGTCTGTGTGTGTCTGTGTGAGTATCTGTGTGTGTGTCTGTGTGTGTCTGTGTGTGTGTCTGTGTGTGTCTGTGTGTGTGTCTGTGTGTGTCTGTGTGAGTATCTGTGTGTGTGTCTGTGTGTGTGTCTGTGTGTGGTCTGTGTGTGTGTCTGTGTGAGTATCTGTGTGTGTGTCTGTGTGTGTCTGTGTGTGTTGTCTGTGTGTGTGTCTGTGTGTGTGTCTGTGTGTGTCTGTGTGTGTGTCTGTGTGTGTCTGTGTGAGTATCTGTGTGTGTGTCTGTGTGTGTGTCTGTGTGTGTCTGTGTGTGTCTGTGTGTGTCTGTGTGAGTATCTGTGTGTGTGTCTGTGTGTGTGTCTGTGTGTGTATCAGTGTGTGTGTCTGTGTGTGTCTGTGTGTGTGTCTGTGTGAGTATCTGTGTGTGTGTCTGTGTGTGTCTGTGTGAGTATCTGTGTGTGTGTCTGTGTGTGTGTCTGTGTGAGTATCTGTGTGTGTGTCTGTGTGAGTATCTGTGTGTGTGTCTGTGTGTGTATCTGTGTGTGTGTCTGTGTGAGTATCTGTGTGTGTGTCCTTGTGTGAGTATCTGTGTGTGTGTCTATGTGTGGGTGTCTGTGTGTGTATCTGTGTCGGTGTGTCTGTGTGTGTGTCTGTGTGTGAGTGTGTGTCTGTGTGTGTGTGTGTCTGTGTGGTGTGTCTGTGTGTGTATCTGTGTGTGGTGTCTCTATGAGTCTGTGTGTATCTCTGTGGTGTGCGTGGTATATATATCTGTGTGTATATATCTGTGTGTATCTGTGTGTATCTCTGCCTATTGTGTGCGTGTATATATATCTGTGTGTATATATCTGTGTGTATCTGTGTGTATCTCTGTGTGTGTGTGTACTATATATCTGTGTATATATATATGTGTGTATCTGTGTGTATCTGTGTGTATATGTGTGTTGCTACCCCCCCAGGCTCTTACTGGGTCCTGTCCACAGACTATGACAGTAGTGTGTGTGTGTCTCTATGAGTCTGTGTGTATCTCTGTGTGTGTGTATATATATCTGTGTGTATCTGTGTGTATCTGTGTGTTGCTAACCCTCCCTCTCTCCTCAGTCACGCCCCCGGGCTCTTACTGGGTGCTGTCCACAGACTATGACAGTTTGTGTCCGTGGTTCTACTCTTGCACCGACATCCTTCGTCTCGCTCACTTTGAGTTCGCTTGGATCCTGTCCCGGACCGAGACCATCAGCAACGAGACCCGGTCCAGGGCTGAGCAGGTCCTGGTCCAGGCCCAGGTCCGGCTCCAGGACATGGTGGACACAGACCAGAGCGAGTGCAACACACTCATGCTCTGAGGCGCTCACATCCCCCCTCCCTGTCTGCACAAAAGCTCTGTTCTCAAACTAACACGTCAGAGACTCTAACCCTGTGTCTGCCTTTGATCAGGTTTTCAGCTTTAGTGATTGATCAGATTATTTTTAGATTATTAACAAAGACTAAGATTAAGACCCTTTTTAATCCCAGAGTAGAGAAATTACTTCAATAAAATCTCTCTAACTCATACTTTTTAGACTCATAGCTTCATAATAAAAAGAGTCTAAAACCTCTAACTTTTCGGCTGTGTTTCCATGGTAACCTGCTTTGCTCACGTCTGCCTTTGATCACATCTTTCATGTTTAAATATGAAAGTTATTTTAAGGAAGTTTATTCATATATAGCGCCTTTCACAGAGTCACAAAGACTTCTTATGAATGTTTGTGTTTTAGCCTCCTCACTCTCTGTGTCTAAATATGAACTATAATATAAATATGTCTAAAGTTAAAGGTCCTCTGTGTAAAGTGTACAGTTGCTCCAAATGAAATAAAACTTTAAATAAATTATACGACCTGAATGACTCTGTTTTCTTTCATCCAAAAATCTGGTGCACGTGTGAATGCTGTGCATCCGGTGAATGATGGTGCACGTAGTGAATGCTGGTGCACGTGAATGCTGTTGCACGTGAATGCTGGTGCACGTGTGAATGCTGTTGCACGTGAATGCTGTTGCACGTGAATGCTGGTGCACGTGTGAATGCTGTTGCACGTGAATGATGGTACACGTGTGAATGCTGTTGCACGTGAATGCTGGTGCATGTGTGAATGCTAGTGCATGTGTGAATGCTAGTGCACGTATGTATGCTAGTGCACGTATGAATGCTAGTGCATGTGTGAATGCTAGTGCACGTATGTATGCTAGTGCATGTGTGAACGCTAGTGCACGTATGAATGCTAGTGCACGTATGAATGCTAGTGCATGTGTGAATGCTAGTGCACGTATGTATGCTAGTGCATGTGTGAACGCTAGTGCACGTATGAATGCTAGTGCACGTATGAATGCTAGTGCATGTGTGAATGCTAGTGCACGTATGAATGCTAGTGCATGTGTGAACGCTAGTGCACCGTGTAAATGCTGGTGCATGTGAATGCTGGTGCACGTGGGAGGGCAGAGTCATTGAGTCCAGACTCAGACACACACTGAGTCTCGCCTCCCATCCAGACCAGACCAGACCAGACCAGACCGGGACCAGACCAGACTTTAAAGACTTTAAAGAGTTTAACAAAGGTGAGACTTCACAGATACAGGTTTTTACACCAAACGTTTCTGTGAGTTATGACAGTGTTTTTCCTCAGGTCAAGATGAAGGAGTTGGTTTGTCTGAGCGTCCCCCCTGCTGTGTGTCTTCTGCTCCTTCAGCGGTGAGTTCAAATCTTTCTTACATTTGTCGATTATTTTAAAAAACAGTTTCAGACAAAGTGAGTGCAACAAAAACTTCAGATAAACGTTCTTTAATTGCAGACGTTTGACTCAGTTTTTCATCAGAACTACCATAAAATACCTGATGTTTGTGTTGCTTTAGTGTTTCTCTCACTGCTCCAACAGTTCCCCTCGAGGACAAAACAATGTTTTTGAGCTTTTTAGAATCTGGACGTTTAAAGTTTTATTATCATTAAAATCTGAACATTCTAAAGTCTATCATCTGTGTGTTTAAGTCTGTGTAAACCTGTGTCTTCTGCACAAAGGCCCTCTCTGTGCCCGAGTCTGCGACGCTGATGGGATCATATTTGACTTGGGGGCAGGAATCTGCGCCCCTCTGGAGAAGGCTGCGGTTGCCAGAATCAATCCACCTTTGTGGAAAACTGGGAATGTTTGGGAATAATTATATTTTTGTTTTTCTCTTTTTAACAGAGGCCAGAATCATCGTCCCAGAAGGAGGTAGGTTTTTATTATGTTGCGTGCCTTTGTGCTGCGTGTGTGTGTCTCTGTGTGTGTGTGTGTGTGTGTGTTTGTAAGTGTTAGTGTGTAGTCTCTCTGTTGTGTGTGTTGTGTGTGTGTACACCACAGTTCGTACGTTCATCAGCTTTAATATCAATAACATGAATGACAGTGACAGTCTTCCTGAAAATGTGAGACAGACTGCTTCTGTAATAATGTTCAAATCAAGGAATTGTATCGTTACTCTTTTAATGTAGTGTGATAATTTAGGTTTTAAGGTGTTACTGTTTCTATATTGTTTTGTTCAGCTCTTTCCGTGTGTGTGAACCGTGCTACACAAATAATCTGGTCATGTGTTGTCTTGTGTGTGTTCCTCAGTGCCCTATGACGAGGCCCCGGCCGTGCCCTACTGGCCCTACTCCACCTCGGACTTCTGGAACTACGTGGAATACTTCAAGTCCATCGGAGCCTACGACCGGATCAACGAGATGGCGAGGGCCTTCTTCGCTCACCAGCACCTGGGGGACACGCTGGGCTACAGAGACCAACGAGGGCCACGAGCACTGAGGACACACACCCCGAGATATTCACACACACCCCGAGGACACACACACACCCTGAGGACACACACCCTGAGGACACACACACACCCCGAGGACACACACGGCCCTGAGGACACACACACACCCCGAGGACACACACACACCCTGAGGTAACCAAGAGGACACACACACCCTGAGACACACACACCCAGGAGGACACACACCCCGAGGACACACACACATCCCTGAGGACACACACACCCTGAGGATAAGGACACGCACCCCGATGGACACACACCCTGAGTACACACACACACCCTGAGGACACACACCCTGAGGACACACACCCCGAGGACACACAAGGACACACACACATCCTGAGGACACACAACACCCTGAGGATAAGGACACGCACCCCGAGGACACACACCCTGAGTACACACACACACCCCGAGGACACACATCCCTGAGGACACACACCCCGAGGACACGCACACACCCGAGGACACACACCAACAACCCTGAGGATAAAACACACGCACCCCGAGACACACACCCTGAGTACACACACCCCGAGGACACACGCACACCCTGAGGACACACACACCTGAGATAAGGACAAAACTCACCCCGAGGACACACACGCCTGAGTACACACACACACACAAAGCCCTGAGACACACACACCCTGAAGGATAAGGACATTTACACATAAATGGAACCACCCCGAGGACACACACCCTGATACAACACACACACCCTTCCGAGGACACGCACACCCTGAGGACACACACACCCTGAGGATAAGGACACGCACCCCGAGGACACACAGCCTGAGGACACACACGTTCTAACTCCTCACACATGAAGTAGTCCCCTGTACATTTATTTAGCAAGGTTTGGGTAGATTTTTTTACATTTGTGTAATTAGTTTAGAAAACATGTATCTAAAAGTTAAGTTTGAATGTAATCAATTATAATTAGATTTGTTATGAAATGGTTACGGTCCTGAAATGTGCAATAATAATATAACTGCCTGTATATGAATAAACACATACTAACATTATTTGTTATTCTTTTAACTAAGTTTGTTATCTGGTTGTTGTAATTCTGATTTGATAATATATAATTTTACTTTTTGTATTTTACCACATATTTTACCGAAACAAAACTTATAAAAATTGATAATAAATAAATAAATATAAACAAGAGGAACAATCCTCCGTTTGTCCTTTGTATTCACCCGGACTCACTTCGGCGCTGCTCAGCTTGTTTACATCCCTCGGTGCTAGCTAACACTGTTAGCTTAGCGTGTAAATATATTATTTTGTACTTGTTCTATTTCTTGAAACCCTTGCATCCAGTTAAAGGGTTTCAAGAAATAAGAACAAGTACAAAATAATAATATTTACACGCTAAGCTAACAGTGTTAGCCTAGCACCGAGGGATGTAAACAAGCTGAGCAGCGCCGAAGTGAGTCCGGGTGAATACAAAGGACAAACGGAGGATTGGTTCCTCATGTTTATTTATTTATTTATTATCAATTTTTATAAGTTTTGTTTCGGTAAAATAATGTGGTAAAATACAAAAAGTAAAATTATATATTATCAAATCAGAATTACAACACAGATAACAAACTTAGTTAAAAGAATAACAAATAATGTTAGTATGTTTTATTCATATACAGGAGTTATATTATTATTGCACATTTCAGGACCGTAACATTTCATAACAAATCTAATTATAATTGATTACATTCAAACTTAACTTTTAGATACATGTTTTCTAAACTAATTACACAAATGTAAAAATCTACCCAAACCTTGCTAAATAAATGTACAGGGGACTACTTCATGTGTGAGGAGTTAGAACGTGTGTGTCCTCAGGCTGTGTGTCCTCGGGGTGCGTGTCCTTATCCTCAGGGTGTGTGTGTCCTCAGGGTGTGTGCGTGTCCTCGGGGTGTGTGTACTCAGGGTGTGTGTCCTCGGGTGCGTGTCCTTATCCTCATGGTGTGTGTGTCCTCGGGTGTGTGTGTCCTCAGGTGTGTCCTGTGTGTCCTCAGGGGTGTGGTGCGTGTCCTATCCTCAGGGGTGTGTGTCCTCAGGGTGTGTGTCCTCGGGTGTGTGCTCAGGTGTGTGTCCTCGGGGTGCGTGTCCTTATCCTCAGGGTGTGTGTGTCCTCAGGGTGTGCGTGTCCTCGGGGTGTGTGTCCTCAGGGTGTGTGTCCTCAGGGTGTGTGTGTGTACTCAGGGTGTGTGTCCTCGGGGTGCGTGTCCTTATCCTCAGGGTGTGTGTGTCCTCAGGGTGTGTGTGTGTCCTCGGGGGTGTGTGTCCTCAGGGTGTGTGTCCTCAGGGTGTGTGTGTGTACTCAGGGTGTGTGTCCTCGGGGTGCGTGTCCTTATCCTCAGGGTGTGTGTGTCCTCAGGATGTGTGTGTGTCCTCGGGGTGTGTGTCCTCAGGGTGTGTGTGTCCTCAGGGTGTGTGTGTCCTCAGGGTGTGTGTGTGTCCTCGGGGTGTGTGTGTGTCCTCAGGGTGTGTGTCCTCGGGGTGTGTGTGTGTCCTCAGGGTGTGTGTCCTCAGGGTGTGTGTGTGTCCTCGGGGTGTGTGTGTATCCTCGGGGTGTGTGTCCTCAGTGCTCGTGGCCCTCGTTGGTCTCGTAGCCCAGCGTGTCCCCCAGGTGCTGGTGAGCGAAGAAGGCCCTCGCCATCTCGTTGATCCGGTCGTAGGCTCCGATGGACTTGAAGTATTCCACGTAGTTCCAGAAGTCCGAGGTGGAGTAGGGCCAGTAGGGCACGGCCGGGGCCTCGTCATAGGGCACTGAGGAACACACACAAGTCAACACATGACCAGATTATTTGTGTAGCACGGTTCACACACACGGAAAGAGCTGAACAAAACAATATAGAAACAGTAACACCTTAAAATCCTAAATTATCACACTACATTAAAAGAGTAACGATACAATCCTTGATTTGAACATTATTACAGAAGAAGTCTGTCTCACATTTTCAGGAAGACTGTCACTGTCATTCATGTTATTGATATTAAAGCTGATGAACGTAACTTTCAAACCACTAACAAGAAACTATTATATCCTTTTTCAGACAGTGAAAAGAGTGGACGAACTGTGGTGTACACACACACACACACACACACACAGAGAGAGACACACACACTAACACATACAAACACACACACACACACACACACAGAGACACACACACGCACGCACAGAGGCACGCACACACATAAAAACCTACCTCCTTCTGGGACGATGATTCTGGCCTCTGTTAAAAAGAGAAAAACAAAAATATAATTATTCCCAAACATTCCCAGTTTTCCACAAAGGTGGGATTGATTCTGGCAACCGCAGCCTTCTCCCAGAGGGGCGCCAGATTCCTGCCCCCAAGTCAAATATTATCCCATCAGCGTCGCAGACTCGGGCACAGAGAGGCCTTTGTGCAGAAGACACAGGTTTACACAGACTTAAACATCACAGAGAGACTTTAGAATGTTCAGATTTAATGATAATAAAACTTTAAACGTCCAGATTCTAAAAACTCAAAAACATTGTTGTCCTCGAGGGGAACTGTTGGAGCAGTGAGAGAAACACTAAAGCAACACAAACATCAGGTATTTTATGGTAGTTCTGATGAAACTGAGTCAAACGTCTGCATGAAAGAACGTTTATCTGAAGTTTTTGTTGCACTCACTTTGTCTGAAACTGTTTTTAAAAATAATCGACAAATGTAAGAAAGATTTGAACTCACCGCTGAAGGAGCAGAAGACACACAGCAGGACGCTCAGACAAACCAACTCCTTCATCTTGACCTGAGGAAAAACACTGTCATAACTCACAGAAACGTTTGGTGTAAAAACCTGTATCTGTGAAGTCTCACCTTTAAACTCTTTAAAGTCTTTAAAGTCTGGTCTGGTCCGGTCTGGTCTGGTCTGGTCTGGTCTGGAGGAGGCGAGACTCAGTGTGTGTCTGAGTCTGGACTCACTGACTCTGCCCTCCCACGTGCACCAGCATTCACATGCACCAGCATTTACACGGTGCACTAGCGTTCACACATGCACTAGCATTCATACGTGCACTAGCATTCACACATGCACTAGCATTCATACGTGCACTAGCATTCATACGTGCACTAGCGTTCACACATGCACTAGCATACATACGTGCACTAGCATTCACACATGCACTAGCATTCATACGTGCACTAGCATTCATACGTGCACTAGCGTTCACACATGCACTAGCATACATACGTGCACTAGCATTCACACATGCACTAGCATTCATACGTGCACTAGCATACATACGTGCACTAGCATTCACACATGCACTAGCATTCACACATGCACCAGCATTCACGTGCAACAGCATTCACACGTGTACCAGCATTCACGTGCAACAGCATTCACACGTGCACCAGCATTCACGTGCAACAGCATTCACGTGCAACAGCATTCACACGTGCACCAGCATTCACGTGCAACAGCATTCACGTGCACCAGCATTCACACGTGCACCAGCATTCACGTGCACAGCATTCACACGTGCACCAGATTTTTGGATGAAAGAAAACAGAGTCATTCAGGTCGTATAATTTATTTAAAGTTTTATTTCATTTGGAGCAACTGTACACTTTACACAGAGGACCTTTAACTTTAGACATATTTATATTATAGTTCATATTTAGACACAGAGAGTGAGGAGGCTAAAACACAAACATTCATAAGAAGTCTTTGTGACTCTGTGAAAGGCGCTATATAAATAAACTTCCTTAAAATAACTTTCATAATTAAACATGAAAGATGTGATCAAAGGCAGACGTGAGCAAAGCAGGTTACCATGGAAACACAGCCGAAAAGTTAGAGGTTTTAGACTCTTTTTATTATGAAGCTATGAGTCTAAAAGTATGAGTTAGAGAGATTTTATTGAAGTAATTTCTCTACTCTGGGATTAAAAAGGGTCTTAATCTTAGTCTTTGTTAATAATCTAAAATAATCTGATCAATCACTAAAGCTGAAAACCTGATCAAAGGCAGACACAGGGTTAGAGTCTCTGACGTGTTAGTTTGAGAACAGAGCTTTTGTGCAGACAGGGCGGGGGGATGTGAGCGCCTCAGAGCATGAGTGTGTTGCACTCGCTCTGGTCTGTGTCCACCATGTCCTGGAGCCGGACCTGGGCCTGGACCAGGACCTGCTCAGCCCTGGACCGGGTCTCGTTGCTGATGGTCTCGGTCCGGGACAGGATCCAAGCGAACTCAAAGTGAGCGAGACGAAGGATGTCGGTGCAAGAGTAGACCACGGACACACGGTCATAGTCTGTGGACAGCACCCAGTAAGAGCCCGGGGGCGTGACTGAGGAGAGAGGGAGGGTTAGCAACACACAGATACACACAGATACACACAGATATATATACACACACACAGAGATACACACAGACTCATAGAGACACACACACACACTGTCATAGTCTGTGGACAGGACCCAGTAAGAGCCTGGGGGTAGCAACACACATATACACACAGATACACACAGATACACACATATATATATACACAGATATATATACACACACACACAGAGATACACACAGATACACACAGATATATACACACAGATATATATACACGCACACACAGAGATACACACAGATACACACAGATATATACACACAGATATATATACACGCACACACAGAGATACACACAGACTCATAGAGACACACACACAGATACACACACAGACACACACACAGACACACACACACACAGACACACACACACACAGACACACACACAGACACACACACAGATACACACACAGACACCCACACATAGACACACACACAGATACTCACACAAGGACACACACACAGATACTCACACAGACACACACACAGATACACACACAGACACACACACAGATACTCACACAGACACACACACAGATACTCACACAGACACACACACAGACACACACACAGATACTCACACAGACACACACAGACACACACACAGATACTCACACAGACACACACACAGACACACACAGACACACACACAGATACACACACAGACACACACACAGACACACACACAGATACTCACACAGACACACACAGACACACACAGACACACACAGACACACACACAGACACACACACAGATACTCACACAGACACACACAGACACACACACAGACACACACAGACACACACACAGACACACACACAGACACACACACAGACACACACAGACACACACACAGATACTCACACAGACACACACACAGACACACACAGACACACACACAGACACACACACAGATACTCACACAGACACACACAGACACACACACAGACACACACAGACACACACACAGACACACACAGACACACACACAGATACTCACACAGACACACACAGACACACACACAGATGATAGTGGTTGGTACTATTTTGAATCAGGAAAATAATGTACCCAAGACAAGCTCCAAAGATTTTGTGGTTCTTTAATTTCCGACTGCCTCTAGAGAAAGACAGCATTAATTCAGGTATTTTTGGCTTTTTCTTTTCTTTCTATTTAACAACGTTACTCAATTCACATAAAATTAAAATAAACACTTCATTCTCAAAAATAAGACAAGACAAGACAACAGTAGTGGACTACAAAACAACTGGTGTAGGCTCACTATAATAAACAAAATAAATACATGTAAAATGTTCATTTATAGAATGGAAATGGAAATATCAGTTAACAATCTGCACTCACTTTCAGTCTGGTAGGAACACAGCTCAAACCAAATCCAGAACAACTGAGAATATAACAGTGGTCTTTCTCCCCTCTGCATAAAGCAAATAGTGAGTACATTTCATGAATAACCATTTAAAATAAACCTTAAACATGTAACTAACATAGTGATCTGTCAACTCACGCCAAAACGTTGACCAACGGCTTTATACACGCAGGTCTGACAGTGTTACGTATGTATGCCTTCTACCAACACCAGATCTACAGATATATAGAGCAGAAATCATCAGATATAATGCAGTAGATATACAAAAAGATTAATTTTATCATTAAATCCTTTTTTGTTATCTCTATTTACCGTTTTTGGTGCCACAACTTGCCAGCGCACCATCCAACGTCTCTCAAGGCGTTGCCAGGGTAACGTCTCACGTGCAGCACCTGACACCTCCCAACCACACGCGCTGTAACAGCACCCTCTACTGGCCAAACCGGGGACAGTATCTGCCGTTCGTCCTATTATTATTTGACCCGGCTACATTCTCCCCTGCCTGAAGTCAACGTCTCGGTGACTTTCTAACAATCAACCTTTGTTTCTGAGGTGTACAGAACCATACCAACTAACAACTGAGACAGTACATCTGGCGTGAAAGACACTGT